TCCCCCCAATGTCCCTCCATCAAGAGTCAGAGAATCCTATGACATCACACTGCCCTCACAGCTCCTCCCCCAATGTCCCTCCATCTGACTTTTTTTCAGATGCTCTTGGATGTGGGCCCTTTGGTATCCTCACATGTAAAGTGGGACTGTTGGTCCTGCGAGCCGTAATAATGGACCCTCATTTAATGCTGCAACAAGTATACCCTGCGTATCACAGGGGTCCTGTGGGGGGAATTATACCTCAGCCTGAAGTGGGGCTTTAATAAAATGGAGACCTGAAATTGGAGAGGTGAGGAGGATTCTGGAATATCATTTGATGGACTATTTGTGTTCAGATGTAGAGTTTTTCCTCCTGTGAAGGGTGGAGATCATAGACATCACATTGCCTCCATCCCTCCCTGATAGAAGAGAGAAAGAAGAAAAGATTCTAGAAGTCACATAGAGAGTCACTGATGTCATTGAGTGATGACAGGAGAAGGTGGAGCGGTGTTCTGGGACATTCTCCAGTAACAGACAAGGGATGTGTCTGGATGGAGGACTGTATCATTGTGTGGTGTCAGAGTTCCTATAAGGTGTCAGGGTGCCTGTCACTGTTATTTCTCCATGGAAGGAGTGGGAGTATTTAGAAGACAGAGGATCTCTACAAGGAGACGTCATGATGGACAATCAGCCGCCCCTCACATCACCCCGGGTAATCAGGAGACTTTATTGTAAAGGAGTTGAGAGCAGAACGGAGGATCCACCTAGAGGTATCAGTGATAAACACATAGGAAACAATGGATTCAGCCAGTGTGTGTGTTTCCTAAGATGGATCCAGTCATGGAACCCCCCAGAGAGATGTCCCCGTCCTCTGTATTCCCGGGATTCCACACAGGAAGGTCACACCATCCCTCACCATCATCAGGTTAAGATGAGGAACAATCACTGATAGTATCATTAGGATCTGTACATTATCTGCATTGTTACCATTGATGGCATTTTTATTATATATTCAGAGTGGAAACCTGAGAGATCCTAAAGTTGAGGTTAAAGAAGAGATAAAAGAGGAGGAGGATGAGGATGGGGGGATGGAGGAGTCAGAGCTTCTAAAGAGAACACAAAGATCTGTACCAGGACACCATGGTGGAGTCATCCAGACTACCGGAAACCCACCAGTAGAGATGTCCCCGTCCTCTGTATTCCCCGGGATTTCCACAAAGGTAAGGTCCACACCATTCCTCATCATTACAAGGTTGGTGGATGGAGAGCATCTAGAACATTGACTCATAGAGACAAGCTGGTGGTTTGTTTTATGTGACCTTACAATTACAGATGATAATTTTTCTCTCATCTATTTCCTTGATTTAGAGTGAGGAATTCCAATCGATATAGAACTTGAGGAGAAAGCAGAAGAAGAATAGAGCCGTATGTGAGGGATGATCAGCAGTCTAGTGGAGGAGGATGGGAATAACGTGACATATTATAGAGTAGGACACTCCTACAGAATCAGCACCAGGTTGGGTCAATGAACACTAAATCCATTCCTCCACCCATACTGCTTCACTGATTGGTCCAGAGTAAGGCTGGGGACCTTGGTGAATATCAGAGCCTGTAATCCCCTGGTCAACTTTCCTGAGCTGTGTTCCCTCGTCCTGTATACCTGATTTTTCTCTCGGATTAATCTTTCCTTCTCTGTGCTGCAGACACAATTTATGTATCCTAGACTGGTAGATTTAGCTGGAGAAAAATGTTGATTTTTCCAGCACAGGCATTACTAGGACATACGTATGTGTCAGCTGGCAGAAAAATGTTTCTCTAAGGGTTTTATGGTCAGCAGGATCTGGTCTGTAGCGATACTAGACCCAAGGTCACCTGTATGCAGTACTGTAGTTTGGGAAGCAGCGGTTGGGTCTCCTAACCCATGCCCTGAATCTAGTAAAATTCTCTGACGAGAATATTTCTCCCAGATACTCTAGAGGGTACTTATGTGGTCCTGACCCTTGCCTTAATGTCCTGTTATAGTCTCATGACCCATAGTCACTGACCCTGCTAGTATACTCAGGAGATGGGAAGCAGGAAGTGCACTATATCTCTGCCATTAGTCCTACATAACATTTAAGCTCACTGACCGCCTGCACTGGATATACTCAGATTTGTATGGGTCCCATGACTCCTTACCACCTGTACTATACCTCTACTGTTGCACATTTCCAGACTCCTGACACCCTGCACCTATATACTCTAATGTTTACAATCCATACTCCTTACCCCTGCCACTATATACGCCTATGATTGTACATTACATACTCCCAGACCCCCAGCTTCTATATACTCTATGTGTTACATTAAACATCCTTCCTACATCCCTTGCACTATATACTCCTAAGTTGTACATTACATACTCCTGACCCCTGCACTATATACTCTGTGTTGTATATTACATACTCCTGACCCCAGCACTATATACTCTGTTGTACATTACATACTCCTGACTTCATGCTCTCCCCCTCCCCCCACTGTCTATATATACACATAATATGGAATACAATTTTTTATATTTTTCTCTTTGTGTTACAACCCATTTCCTACAGCTGGACATTTTTATATCGGATGATGTGATTGGAGCACAGGCTTTTACATGGTGATAATAAATGTGATAAACATCCTCCCAACTTTGGACCCTTAAACAGAAAGTGAAAATGAGGGAGGAGTCATACCCCAATGATGAGGTGGTTCTCAGGATCAGTCCAGTCTTCATCTTGGTTGTTCTCTCCCCCCCATCCTCACTCTCTGACCTCTGGTGGGGGCTCAGCCCCGCTGTTCTTCATGACCTAAATCATGGACTAACTAAGGAAGTGCAGTACTTCTTGTGTTGGGAAGATGGCGATGAGTTGATAGAGGGGGTGGGGGACCCGTCTTCCTATAATCCCCTTCCTGTCAAGGACGCACCATCGCCACCCTCAGCATGCGACATTCGGCACGACCGTGACCAACAATACGTCACGCCACCAGCGGGCGTCAGACCCCAGACCTTCTCACCAACTCGTGACCAAAGGACCGTCCGATCCTAAAACTGCTCATGTGAACGTGCGTAAAACAATGCCACACTCAGCTTGCGCCCCTGCACGATTGTCCCAGCTAATGGAACGCAATCGATGGCAGCGGCAGCCCTGAATGCGCTTGTTACTAACTGGTTGGGTCGGGTTAATTACGCCAACTAACCCTTCACTGCCACCCACCCCCTTTTATGTACAGAGAAAGGGAGCAACTCTTTATCCAATGTACACTGTGATGGTTGAAAAGTCGCCTGTCCAATATGGTCACGCGCAGGCCGATTGGGCAGAGGATTAAACAAAACAGTAGTGTCTCTTCAAGAAGGCAGGGATTCGTAAATTGCAATTAACGCGCTTAGCGAAACATTTAAAACACTTTTCATAAAGAAAATTTATTACTAAAAGAATCAAACAGGTTTCAATAAAATATTTACAGAAAAAGATGTAACTAATTATTATATATTTATATTATACATAGAAAACAGCCCTGCAAAAGAGATAACAGGGAGAAGTTAAAAGGTTAAGTTACTTTGCCATGTTCAGACTTAAGGTAAGCAGATCCAAGTTTGCAGAGCGTAAAGGGTCTTTGATCTCTTGCTGTTACAATGTTAAAATTGGGGAGATGTGTTTAGCTTCACTCATGCCTACAGCCTGTGTTTTTTAAAAAGTCCCACCAGCAAGGGGGTGGCTCTGAGTAACTGGCCAATACCCTGTTTTTGGGTGGGATCGTCGGATTGACTCCGGCATTTCAAACTGACAGCTTCATAATCCATGATATGAACATACTGTAGGTGGCAGCTGACCTGAGGACTGTTCATTTAACTTCTGTCACCCTGGCGGTAGGGTTTATGAGGTCCTATCCAACTTCTTTCAAGTCCGGGAGAAAAAAACTACCTTACTTTACAGTTTACACAGGCCTTGGGGACAGAGAGTCTGCTGTCTCTATGGGTTGGGCTTTGTAGCGCTTGGGGGGGACCCCCTGCTTGCTCCACGCCTGCCAGCAACTATTAACACACACACACATCTGTCCCCTGTGCCTCTCAGGAAGGGAGGTGGTAGGGAATAAAGGATTGAGGCATACTTCTAATAAAAAAGGGGAACTCCGCATCCATCTCTGATGAGCAAGTTTGCTACACCCCCATCACTGTCCCTTCCTATAAAAGACTAGTTCCTGGTTGTTTCCTCACACTCTGACTAGACGGTCCATGGAATAAAGAAATGACTTGTAGGAGATCAGAGGAGCCATTTCCTAGTTCCCCTTGAGGGTGGAATTGTAAGCTCCTCCGAAGACCAAGGTGCCCTGATTGGCGGAGTCCTGGATTGGGGAACCAATCCGCTCCTGTCTAGGTAATCCTCTTGTCTTTGTATTTTAAGTCCCATGGCCGGGAGATGAGGAAAAAACTTTCCGAGGATTGTCTCAGTTTGTTCTCCAGACTGGAAAGTAGAAGATGAGGACATCACACAGTATAGTCAGGAGAAAAACCCGGCTCCCTCGCAATGTCCATCCGGCACCACACCAGTGTAGATGGACCATCGGATTCCTCATATCTCTGAGGACCCTCTCGACTGTGCGGGACCGGGCCCGGCCTTCACCAACAGGAAGAGCTTCTCCTGTCTGAGTGCGGGAAGAGGTTCTGTTCTAATACCATCTTAATAGGCATAAAAGATCTCACACGGGGAGAGAACCATATTCCTGTTCCTGAGTGTGGGAAATGTTTTCAGTGAAGTCCCATCTTTACACACATCAGAGATTCACATGGGGAGAAGCCGTATTTCCAGTCCTGAAGTGCGGGAAAATGTTTTTTCATTCTAAATTCCTTGTTAATCGTCAATAAATACGACTCACACAAACGGAGAAGCCAATATTCCCGTCCTGTAGTGTCGGGAAATGTTTTTTCAGTGAAGGTCCCAACTTTAACAGACACCAGAAATCTCACCATTGGGGAGAAAGCTGTTTTCCTGTCCTGAGTGCGGAAATGTTTTTCAACAGAAGTCCCATCTTCACACACATCAGAGATCTCACACAGGGGAGAAGCCGTATTCTTGTCCTGAGTGCGGGAAATGTTTTCAGAGAAGTCCAGTCTGCACACACATCAGAGATCTCACACAGGGGAGAAAACCATATTCCTGTCCCTGAGTGTGGGAAATGTTTTTCAGAGAAGTCTGTTCTTTATAAGCACCATAAATCTCACACAGGGGAGAAGCGTATGCCTGTTCTGAGTGTGGGAAATGTTTTTCAGAAAAAGTCCAGTCTTCACATACATCAAGATCTCACACAGGGGAGAAGCCATATATTCCTGTCCTGAGTGTGGAAATGTTTTTCAGAAAAAGTCCAGTCTGCAGAAACACATCAGAGATCTCACACAGGGAGAAGAGCCGTATTCCTGTCCTGAGTGCGGGAAATGTTTTTCAGTGCAGTCCAATCTTTACACACATCAGAGATCTCACACGGGGGGAGAAGCCGTATTCCTGTCCTGAGTGCAGGAAATGCTTTCACACAATGTCCCATCTTTCCAGACATCAGAGATCTCACACGGGCAGAAGCCTCTCTCCTGTCCTGGAGTGAGGGAAATGTTCCTCTCTTAAGTCCTGTCTTCCTGTACCTCAGGGGTCCCACACAACCCTGGAGGTGTAATAGTGGCTTGAGTGCGGGAATGTCTTCTATATAAATGTTGCTGGACATCCCAGCTCTCATGTGGGGAAAGAAGCACACCTGATATACACCTTCAGATATACTCCATGGCTGATCTTCATCATGGAAGAAACAGTTCATAAGGAGATCAGTGGTCCCCAAAGACATGGATGAAGTGTGGGGACCGGGTTTGGCCATTGATATCAGGAGAGTAAATATAAATGGAGTGTGAAATGCTCTGTAATGATTTATTTTTTTTTTCATGGAAAACATTCCCCCGGCTCAGCAAAATCTCCTAATGACATCGGTGTTTTTAGAAGCCCCCATTCACAGAGAAGGAATGGACAGGAGATACAATCTCTCATACAGACAGAATGGTCATGTGACATTATAAAGAGGAACGCCAGAAAATCACATCAATCAAATCTTCCAATGTTTTCTGTGCAATCTGCGTATACAATGGGGGGGGGTAGGGGGGCAGACATGGGGGGCATACAATGTGAACACAGAGGGGGGCTGGCTTACCATGGTAGGCGAAAAGCATCATAGGCGCCGAGCACCAGCATTCCACCGACCGCCATAAACAAGGGAGCTGGCCCAGCACAGAAATCCTGGGAAGACTTACCTGATGCCACTTTTACTGCTTTCTCACTTTCCATGCAGCCAGTGATGGTCCTGCCGCCATTTGTTTTATTATTGGTGTATACTCTGATCAGCAGGATCATTTCTCCTGAAGAAGTGAGCGCTGCACCACGAAACGCGTGGAGATGGATGACGCTGCTAAAAATGGCAACATGTTGTGTATGTAATTGTACACCAATAATAATGACTCCGCCCCCACATTCCAGACAAGGGATCTTCCTGACCAATCGGATTCCTTCCTTTACTATTTCCTGATTTTTATGCTTCAATCTTGTTAATGTAAAATTATAATAAAACATTTATTTGAACAAAAACTAGTGTGTGTGTCGGTGCAATGACGGCAAACTTCATATTGAAACATTTGCTCCTCGGGTGACACCTCACACCCTTCAATAACGGCGCAGATGCGGGGGTCAGCAAGTATATCACTATACAGCCCCACCATAGAGAGTGCAGAGGGGGGGCTGTAGTGTGCCCCCCCTCCTGATCCATACCAGGCCACACGTGCCCACAACATGGGGGTCCCTTACCAGGGGGGATTCCCCCAGGCATAGCACCATTGTCACCTTGGCTGGTGGCTGTGGGGATCTGTGGGTGGGGGTCCAATTGGATTCTGGAAACCCCCTTTAATAACAAGGGGCCCCCATTTACCGTTCCCCATGTGATATGAGTATGGGGTATAAAGTACCCAACAATAGCACCAGCCAATGATAGCTCCCTAAACTGTCATCATCTACATAAGTGAAGGGACAGGGATGGTGGGACCTTATTACCAAATGTGACCAGTGACCATATTTGGTCAGTGTGATTGATCACTGCTATCCCCACCCTTTCCTTACATGGCAGGGATTCCCAATGACATCACTGATTCCTGGGGGTGTGGCCAGCTGTACCCATCCATGTCTTCCTCAGCACCAGTGACAGCGGGAAGCTGTTATATATAGAAGTGGTAGAAATGTCTCTTCTATATGTGGCTCCTGCCAAAACACGGGGACCGGAACAGGCAAAGTTTTGGTTTGTACTGTCCGTCTCATCCTACTCTCCGACAAACCTAAACTCAGAGATCATCCCAAGTGGTCATTGTATTTGTCCCTTACATTGGTGACCAATTGGGAGAAGGAAACCCCCTTAAATCAGTGTAGCGGTCCCTTATACATTGGTGACCAATGGGAGAAGGACCCCCTCTTATATCAGTGGTCAGTTGCAGTGGTCCCTTACATTGGTGACCAATGGGAGAAGGACCCCCCTTATAATCAGTGGTCAGTTGCAGTGGTCCCTTACATTGGTGACCAATGGGAGAAGGGCCCGCTTATATCAGTGGTCAATGTAGTGGTCCATTACATTGGTGATCAATGGGAGAAGGACCTCCTTATATCAATGGTCAGTGTAGTGGTCCCTTACATGGTGACAAATGGGAGAAGGACCCCTTATATCAGTGGTCAGTGTAGTGGTCCCTTACATTGGTGACCAATGGAGAGTAAGGACCCCTTATATCAGTGGTCAGTGTAGTGGTCCCTTACATTGGTGACCCCCTTAATGAGAGAGGGAAGGGCCCCTTATATCAGTGGTCAATGTAGTGGTCCATTACATTGGTGATCATGGGAGAAGGACCTCCTTATATCAGTGGTCAGTTTAGTGGTCCCTTACATTGGTGATCAATGGGAGAAGGATCGGGGGCGTGTCCAAGATGGCGACCGGGCCGGCTGCTTAATCCGGAGCTCCGGCCTAGTCGCTTACCATCTGCAGCCATCCGGGAACAGCAGCCGTGATCGGCGGTGCGGAGGTCCTGCTGAGACAGCGGTGACACAGCGGTGAGGGTGTGTGGGTCATTTTCGTCCCCCTCCGCGGCATTGGAGAGTTGCCACCTTGCGGCCTTTTGCAGCCACGGGACTCGTGCCGCCCCGATCCGGGACCCAGCAGCAGGGTGAGTGCAGCCCGGGGAGGAGGGAGGTGAGCACGCGCACCATACCTCCCTCACCCGGTCCCCGAATGCCTGCACAGCCTACTGGGCTTCCCCCACCTGGACCCAGAGACAAGGCCTGATATAAAGGCCCTGGGGACATTTATAAGCCAGAGGCCCCCATTGGGCCTGCAGCTGCACAGTACCCCAAAGCAGACGCCTGGGAGACGGAGCAGTGCTGGTTGCAGCCCCCCCCTCTTCCTCCCCCCTTGCAGGGTCTGAGGGACTCGGATACAGGTGATATCTCACAAAAGGAGCTTACACATTCTTCAATTCTGCACCTAGTATCATCCTCTGAATCTCAGACGCAGGCATCTGATCCCCAGTACCCTCTACAACCTGTATTTGTTAGTTTATAAGTTTACAACTAAGGGGGGGCCTACCCTGCGCCCAGACAAATAAGGACCTAATTACTACAGCCCTGATACACGGAGGCGGATACACGTAATACAAAGAAGGAGGGACGCAGCTGAGATGGGGAAAACAGATAAGAGAATAACCACTCCACGGTCCAGATCGCCTCGCCGGCCGAGTGGCCCTACCAGTCGTAGCATCCCGGAATTATTCCGGTCTCAGACCCCGGAACATTCTGAGTCCGACGCCGCAGCCTCTCCCTCACATCAGCCTCCCGGAGTGTCTCGCTCTCACAGCAAAAATTTGACCGCGACTTCTGCTGCTGGCCATCCTGAAACCTCCCTTATCACTATAGGGCAGTGGTTCTCAACCTGTGGGTCGCGACCCCTATGGGGGTCGAATGACCCTTTCACAGGGGTCCCCTAAGACCATCAGAAACACAATATTTCCGATGTGTAAAGAGCAGCTACTGTGTAGAAAGCAGCTGCTGTGTTGAAAGCAGCTACTCTGTTAAAAGCAGCTACTGTGTTGAAAGCAGCAGTATTGGAGGTAAAACGACACTCATGAATTATAATTACTGGGTAAATAATTTTATGGTTGGGGGTCACCACAACATGAGGAACTGTATTAAAGGGTCACGGCGTTAGGAAGGTTGAGAACCACTGCTCTAGGGGATTTGAAAGCAGTAGCATCAGATATTAAGGAGACCCTCACTGCTGCAATCGCTGAGTTACATTTTGACATGCAGGCAGTGGCCCAAAGGCTTGAAGCGGTAGAGGATAAAGTATCCATTCAGGAACTTGCCATTCACAATATGCACAAACTGGTGGATACGCACACTATGCACTTAAGAGATTGACCGTCATATTGAAAATCTTGACAACAGGGGACGGAGACATAATCTCAGGGTGCGTGGTGTCCCTGAAGCGATTGAGTCCGGCCATCTCACCCAAATGGTACTGGCCATCTTCAATGACCTTTTAGAGAGACCGCTAGAATCTCCAATTGAGCTGGAACGCATCCATAGGGCACTGCGTCCGAGAGGCAGAGACGCTGATCCACCAAGAGATATAATATGCTGCTTAGTCGACTTTCAACTTAACTACATGCCGCCCAGCCACTGTACATATACGGCGGCAGGGCGGCACTCGCAGGCAAAACCACGTTTTAAAACGTGTGTTTTGTAAACAAATAGGGGGCGCGCGCGTGGCGCGCAGCCACCCTATTTGTCCTGCGGATCACCGCCGCAGATGTCAGTCGCTGGGTCCCGGCGATCGGCGGCAAACAGTGACAGAGAGCACAGCTGCAGTAGCTGTGCTGTCTGTCACTTCCCTGTCAGCTCGAGGATGAGCTGATCGAGAAAGAACAGTTTCTCTTTCTCGATCAGCCTTGTCCCGTGCAGAACACACCCCCGCCCCCTAGTAAAACACTTCCCTCACTCCTATAACCCTTCCCTGCAAAATAATGTTAACCCCTTCCTCCC